CTCCCAATCCTGGTCACCCTCAAAGAATGGTACTTTCTATGTGTGAACTTCTTTACTTTTTATAAAGGTGGCATCACATACTATCTGTCCGTTTGTGGTTGCCTTAGTTCACTCTATAATGTCCATGGATGTGTCATTGTGGGGTATTCTGTTATATGAGGGGGTATCCCAAAACCCGGGAATTTTAATATATTTTCCCCCAAAGCTATGTATTTAAATTTTTTTTTTACAAAACAGCCTTATCACTTTCAAAGTACTCTCCATTACACTTAATACATTTGTCAAATCCATGATTCCATTCTTGGAAACATTTTTCAAACTCATCTGTTTGGATGGCTGACAGCACCTCCCTCATCTTTTCCTTCACCTCTTCCACGTCATCAAATTGCTGTCCTTTCATGTCCTTCTGCATTCTTGGAAACAAAAAGTCCCACGGAGTGAGGTCAGGTGAGTAAGGGGTGTAGGACGAGAGAGGCATGCTGCTTTTTGCCAAAAACTGGCACACTGAGATGGCTGCGTGAGCAGGTGCATTGCCGTGGTGGCAAAACCAGACCCCTGTCTGCCACAAACCAGGCCTTTTTTTGTGGCACACTGTTAGGCAACCTTTTCAGAACCTCTAAATCAGTGATTCTCAACCTTCCTAATGCCTCGACCCTTTAATACAGTTCCTCGTGTTGTGATGACCCCCCCAACCATAAAATTATTTTCATCACTGTAATTTTGCTACTCTTATGAATCTGGTGACCCCGGTGAAAGGGTCATTCGACCCCTAGAGGGGTCCCCACCCACAGGTTGAGAACTGCAGCTATAAATAGAGTCTGACTATAACAATCTGACCTGGTGGAATGAACTCCAAATGCACTATCCCCCTCACCTCACAAAAACACATGAGCATCATCCTGATCTTTGATTTCACATGACGAGCTTTTGGGGGGTGAGGTGAAGATGGCATCGTCCACTGGCTTGATTGGTGTTTGCTTCCCGGGTCGTAAGGACAGCACCTTGTCTCATCACCAGTTATGACCTTGGGGGAAACATCTGGGTCTCTTTGGAGCTGTTCTTTCTTTCAAAGCACAGCATGTTTCCACTGGATGCTCTTTTGTCCTGGTCAGTCATAACCTGGGGCACACATTTTGCAGCGACCCTTCTCATTCCCAAATCTCCTGTTAAAATTCACTAAGTTGAGCTCCAAGATAATCCAGATAACTTCCTTACCTCTTCAGTCATCTGCTGTTGTGGGTCTTTGAGCACAAATGCCTGAATTTGGTCAACAATTTTGTCCGTATGGGAAGTTGGCGGACATCTAGAACAAGGTTTGTCATCAATTGACCTGTCACCTTTTTTGAAATGAGAAAGCCACTCATACACGTACATTTTTCCCATAGCACTGTCCTTGTAAGCTGCGTTCAACATCACAACAGTTTCTGTAGCATTTTTCCTGAGCAGGAAACAGAATTTCACAGCTGCACGCTGTTCTTTTAAATCAGCCATCACAAAAAATGAGGTTTGAACGAAACTGCTTTTACGAGAAAGTTCACTGTGACCAGTGGGCACCTTCCCAGGTGACGCCACCGGATGCACTACCTTGGAGTGTGTTGGTTGAGGCTTCCCTGATGGGAAACATGCATACTATGAAAGCTCCGAGCGGAGCCTTTTCCAATTTTTTTTTGGGGGGGTGACCCCCGCGTATGTGTGTACCACATTTTGCATATTCATTCATCTGTTGATGGACACTTGTGTCCTTTTGCTGCTGTGAAGCATGCTGCCATGAGCATGAGTTCAGGTGTGTCTTCACTGCTTTGTTTCTCTAGGATAAGATACTAGGAGTTAGATTACAGGATCAGATGCCATTTTTATTTCTCGCTTTTTGAGGATGCACCATGCTGATTTCTAAAGAGGTCACACCACTCTACAATCTGATGAGCAGTGTCTAAGAGTCCCATCCTCCCACAACCTTAATCAGCATTTATTTTCTTAAAAAAATTTTTTTTTCTTTTATTAGTGGTGCCATTTTGGGGGGAGGGCATGAGACAGGAGCTCGTTGTAATTTTGACTTTTCATCCCTCAAATGACTAGATGTTGGGAGCTTCTCGGTGTGTTTGTTAATGGTGAAGCATCTGTTTACATCCTGTGCTCATTTTGGGGATTGGATTATCTACCTCTTGGGGGCTAAAGTTTTGATGCTTTCTGTATACATTAGAGATTAGACCCCTGTCGAATATGCCTTTGTCAATCCCGCACCCACCCACCCACACCCCCATTTGTAGGTTCCTTTTCCACCTTTGGTAAATTCTTTATGAAGAGCATATTTCATCTTTAGCAGGCCCCAGTTACCGAGCTTATTTTCTCTTGTCTGCATGTTTAATTAAGTCTGATGGTGTATTTATGCCATAATTTAGGACCTGTAGCTCTCTAACTATGTTAGGTACCAGGAGCTAAGTGTTAGGTCTTGGATTTATTTTGAGTTTGTTTTGTGTGTGGTGTGAGATATGAGCCCTGCTTTGTTCTTCTGCAAATGAGTCTACAGTTTTGCCAGCACCATTTGTTAAAGATTCCTTCCCTGTTGAATGGATTTCGATCCTTTGTTGAAGATCAGCTGTCTGTAGCTGGATGGACGGACTTCTGGGTTCTCAGTCTTGTCCCATTGGTCTGTGTCTGTCGTTGTGCCAGTGTGAGGCTGTCTTGACTGTTCTGACTGTAATGAGGCTGGGAAAGGGGAGCGTGAGCCCTCCTGCTTTGTTTATCTGTAATACTGCTTAGTTACTTGGAGCTCTTTATTTTTCCATTTCACTAAAGACTGTTGTTGCGATTGGGATTGGGATTGTGTTGTATCTGTAGATCACTTTGGGAAGTACTGACACCTTCCCTATGTTAAGTCTCCTGTTCATGAGCATGGTTTGTTTTTCCATTTATGTAGGTCTTTGGGTTTCTTGCAAGCCGTGTTGTGTTCTTTTTCTTATGTGTTTTGCACCACCCCTGGTTAGATTTATTCCTAGGCTGAGTTAAATTGTTTTGAAGCTGTTCTGCTTTTCAGGAGTTCTGCAAACACTCGATTCAAATGTCACCCTATCTTTGTGTATTATATTTAAATTGTCGTAACTAGGGCACACAGAATGAAAATGCCACACACCGAATTTCAGCAGACTGAAAATTTCTTAACGAGTCGTCTTCTCCCTGTTGGTTAGTCTCTGTTTTCTGGGACTTGATGCTGCTGTAGCCAGGATGGGGGCCCAGGTCGGACGGTTTTGTCTTGGAGAGATGGTTCTATGTGGGTACCAGTCTGTAAGCTGAGGGCCTTTCTTTGTGAAGCCCGTTTTGAGGTTCCTCGCCTTGCAGATCAGGTCAGCTGGCTCTGGGGCACGGCCACCATCCAGCTGAGCGGGGAGTGGCATGCCACTAGGGTTGGAGTGGTCCCGGCTGTTCACCAGCTGGAGCCACTCAGAAAGGTTTATACTGGAGGCAGCTGCAATTCCCCTTTTCCGGGAAAGAGGGAGCTTCCAGGGAGGTGGGCTGCAGCTGTGAGTGAGAGCTGGCGTCACCGTCACGAGGCCATTGAAAGGTCCTTGAATGATCACTCACCAGCCAAGTCCTGTCCTCTGGGGTTCCAGTCACAGAATGTTCCAGACACAAGGGGTCCTAGCGAGCAGCCCTCCTTATTGAGGTCTGCTCATGGGCTGGGCCCTGCATTCGCAGCTTTACAGGAGTTACTCAGCTGTTACGATAACTCTGTGGGCTACCCGTTATTATCTCCGTCTTACACTGAGGCATGGCGAGGCAAAGTCACTTGTCAGAGCCACAGTTAACCAATGGCAGGGCCAGCATTGGAACACATGCCAGGTGGTTCCAAAGCCGTCCGTAAAAACCAGCAGTAAAAATGACCAGTTGCCGCCAAGTGGATCCGGACTGACGCGCCCCCGGTGTGAGTCAGCGCAGAGCCGCGCTCGCTCCGGGAGTGTCGGTGGCTGTGGTCTGTCAGAAGCAGAGTGCCAGGCGTTCCTTCCCCGGCGCCTTTGGTTCCTAGCTGAGAGCTTGGCCATTTGCACGGGAGATCAGAGAGGAAGAACAACTTGCCTGAGGCAACACTGCCAACTTCGATTCGTGTTAGAGCGGCAGTTGGAGTTCACCTGGGCTTGCTCTCGGGCGTCCGTCCATTACCGTACCATGTTCAGTCCCTGCCTGGGAGGAAGACAGGGGAGAAGGTCCCCAGTCGCCATTTGGGTAGGTTAGGCACGATCTTTGGCTGATTTGGAATGAGAAATGAGTTTCCCCTCATTGTAGTCCCTTTTCCTTGCTCTTCATGTTGGGAAGAACAGAGAGAAGATGGGCCGATGCCCCCAGTGGGGAGTCATGTCCCTGACAGAAGGGGTGAGCTTGAGGCAGCCAGACCGCCCTTATTGGGGTTTGCCTTTGTGTGTGTGTGTGTGTGTGTGTGTGTGTGTGTGTGTATGGGTCACCAGGGACCTGCCCCAGTCCTCACATCACGTGCCGTGTGCTTGGCCCGCAGGCACTCAGCTCTGCCATTGGGATGGCATGGATGGGGGCATTTGGAAAGGAAGGGTGCAGTACCAGACGCGGGGCCCCAGGCTCCCTGAGTCCTCGGCCAATGGCGGGAAGCATCGTTTCCGCCAGCTTGGACCACAGATGTTTTTGTTCGTTTCTGTGTGAAATCGTGCCAAGGATCCCACTTCTCCTGTTCATTTGATTAACCACGTCACAAACAGCATTAATAAATAGATATCAAACTGCCACCTAAATGACAAGCAGAGGGGCTAAATGGTTTTCCCCAAGGGTCAGCCACCGAAGAAGTAAGGGAAGCGTCCCCGCACCATCCAATCCCCATATATGTAAATTCAGGACGCTGCTTCACCGCTGGGTGTTTTAATTAAAATGTATAAATCACAGAGCGCCTCTGAAAGGGGCAGTAAGCCATTTCTACCACTTCCAAGTCACACAGGTTGCTGCCCGCTGAGAAGTTAACGGGTGTGTCTCTCTGCCTGCAGGTGTGGTGTCCGCACAGCGGCAGGTGGCCGTCCAAGAAGGACCCCTGTACCGCACGGAGGGCTCCCACATCACCATCTGGTGCAACGTGAGTGGCTTCCAGGGGCCTGCCGAGCAGGACTTCCAGTGGTCCATTTACCTGCCCTCGGCCCCAGAGCGCGAGGTGCAGATCGTCAGCACCTTCGACTCCTCCTTCCCTTACGCCATCTACACCCAGCGCGTGCGCAGCGGGAAGATCTATGTGGAGCGGGTCCAGGGGCACTCGGCCTTGCTGCACATCACCGAGCTGCAGGCCCGCGACGTGGGCGAGTACGAGTGTCACACGCCCAACACGGATGAGCGCTACTTCGGGAGCTACAGTGCCAAGATGAACCTCGTGGGTAAGGAGACACTGTGCTCACCCGGTGGGCCCCACCTGTGCCTCTCCTCCAAGCGGGCACCTTTGTTCCGTGTCACGTGTTTGAATGACACACACACTCTTCCCAATACCGTCGAGGTCAGCAGCACGGTGGAAGGCGAACGGGATGTGTGTGTGTTCGCTTTATCAAGAGCGAGAGATGGAGGTTGACTCGTGCGGGGCGGTGGGTTGCAGATGCTAAGAAGCTCAGGATGGCCAGCCCACCAGCTGATGAAGTTTCAGGCTGGGGCCATGTGTGGAAGATGAGCTGAGGATGTGACAAGAGAGACGAGGCCCAGGAACAGGCTCTGACGTGGATGGGCGTTTGTGTTTGCAGGTCCTTGCCCACACCGGGGCTGCCTCAGCGGCCCGTTAGCTCCATGGCTGAGGAATTGTGAGCTAGTGATCTCCCTTGACCATGGTGCTCCCCTAAGGATGCAGGGACCATGAGGACAAGGCGGTGGGGGGCGGGGTTCCCACAGTGCTTAGCAAGGGGAAAGTACTAAAAATATCAAGGCTCTTCCATTTTTCTGAGCAAGTCTTAACTCCCAAGTTTCCGTTGCCCCAAGTGGGTGTGCGTTGAGAGGAGCGGGGTCAGTTGGCAGTGCTGTTCTGATCACAGGCACTGTCCCCGGGTTAGGGTACCTTTCCCTGGACAGCTTGGCATCCCAAGAGGAGGTTTTCAAGACCATCCTGACAGGAGGCCTGTACAGCCCAAAGAGTTCTTCCTCTCACCTGTCCTGATGTGAGTCCAGGAGGAAAGCACACACTGGGCGCGCTTGCGCTGTCCCCTGCCGGCAGGGAGGGGAGGCCCCGGAGAGAAGTGGGGTCACACTGAGAGCCACAGGGGTCTCGCCGTCACTGGGCTCCTCAAGGCTCGTTCGGAAGCACCCACCGCCTCCGGGCCACTTGACAGAGGAAGTGTATGGGACTCCATCTGACTCAGAACTCGAGGATGACGACCCCTCTCTCGGCCATACCTACATCTAAGTCAGGGAGCGGGCAGACAGAGAGGGAGAGGGAGGCTCCTAGCACGTTATATTGCTGACATGAGTGGGGGACGGGTGCAGGGACAGGGAGGAGGTGAGCAAGTTGTAGACACTTAAAGCGGCAAGTTCCAGGAGCCATTTCCATTTGGCTGTCAACCAGAAGTTGGCCTGGTGTCCCGGTGCTGCTGGACTGGAAAAGCCGCAGGCAGGTGATGGTAGAGAAGTGCAAAGTCAGAGCAGGGGCTGGGCAGGGCTCTCTTGGCCGGCCTGCGGGAAGGCTCCTCAGCCTCTGTCGCCCCAGCATTCCTCAGTTCCTTGGCCGTCTTCCGATGGAATCCCCTCCTCCACCCCCACCCCATTGGCGCTTCCTTGGGAGTTTAGTCTGCTCTTTACAGAACTCAGAAATGACCTACCCTCCACACGTATGGTTCCACTAATGTAGTGCGGAAAACCTAGTCTCAGACAGGATCACATCCTGGTATTGCAGAGCTGAGGATTTAAACACACATGTTAGCGGGGGAGGGGGAGGGATCCAAGTCCATCCATAACATAACATCCAGAACAATTAAGTATTTTAAATTTATACCAAAGTAAACTATTTGATCAGAAAGGAAATTCTTTTTACCTAGTATTTTGGAGAAATCCATTTATCAGGTAGCATGATGTACAGTCCACCCTGTATTGACCTGGTACTGAAATACCAAACCAGGTAAGTGTCCAAAACTATACGTTAGAAAGTCCTCTGGGTGCCTGTGCCTTCTGGGGTGTTCTGTGGCCTGAGCCGTGTGGTAAAGGCTGACCTGGGGGGGTGGGGGGGTGGGAGCAAGGCACGAGCCTGTATGCAGTGGGAGCTCCACTTGGTGGCTTGGTGGCGGTGCATTCTGGGGACATTTCTGTGTCGCTGTTGCAGTGATCCCCGACACGCTGCAGGTGAGCGCCATGCCGCAGACCCTGCACAAAGTGGAACAGGACCCGCTGGAGCTGAGCTGTGAGGTTGCCACCGAGACTGTCCAGCACAGCCACCTGTCTGTGGCCTGGCTCCGGCAGAGAGGCAGCGAGAAGCCTGTGGAGGTCATCTCCCTGAGCAGGGACTTTGTGCTGCACTCCAGCCTCGACTATGCCCAGAGACACAGCCTCGGGGAGGTGCGGCTGGACAAGCTGGGCAGGACCACCTACCGCCTCACCGTCTTCCACCTGCAGCCCTCTGACCAGGGCGCGTTCTTCTGTGAGGCTGCCGAGTGGATCCAGGATCCGGATGGGTCGTGGTTTGCCATGACGCAGAAGCGTTCCGAGGGAACTGTGGTCAACGTCCAGCCCACAGGTCAGTCTCTCTGAGCCTCTTGCTCCTGCGTATGTGATGGGGAGCGTGGCCAGTCACTGGGAGAGTGGGGGGCCCCTCCTAACAATACAGTAGGTTTCAGGGCCAGAGGAAGCTGAGAGACATAGAGGATGCAGACGTCCAGAGACCTGGCCTTCTAGTGCGTCACCGAGAGCCACCAGATGAATCTGTGCTCACACACATGCGTTCTTGGCCGTGCAGGGTGTGTGAATTCTCGAGTTCATTACCCATCTGACAGCGCAATGGCTCCCCCGGTGGCGGGGTCTCCATTCTTCAGGCACCAGCCCTGCTCCATGGTACAAGACACTTGGGACGATGAGTCCCCAGCCGCCCCGCCTTCCCCTCACGTAGATAGAAAATTATGAAGTGGACAGTTGATGGCTTCAGCAAATATTGTTTGCATTAGTGTCTGGGGCGTTTAATACTTTCCAATAGGAGCTTTGTTAGCGCAACAGTTAGGCCTTTGCCTGCCAACCCAAAGGTGGGCAGTTCAAACCCTCCCAGCGGGAACGGAGAAGAGCTCAAAGAAAGCCCACTCCCACAAAGACCACAGCCGAGGGGAGCCCCTGGGGCAGCTCTGTGTGTCGAGTTAGGATCCCTGAGAGTCGGAATCGGCTCGACCGCCCCTAACAGCGCAGTTTCCACAATGCTTTTGTCACGTAGGATGGCACCCATCCCTTCAGAAGTTCTCGGGGTAAGTAGAGGGGGGGTTCCATTTTCTGGGAGAGGATGGTGCCTGGTGATGATGACAGCCGGGCCCCCGGGCCCCAATGTACATGTTTTCTCAAGGGAAGCCCCGGAAGAGAGCGCTCTGAAGACAGTGAGTAGCTTGTCTAGAGCCGGAGAAAAGCCCTGGCAGCCCCAGACCCTCCCTGACTCCCTCACATTATTCTCCCACAGCCTCAGATCCCCTCTCCAGACTCCAGAGGCCAGCCACACTCTAGATCGGAGCTAACAGTGCTTGTTGGACGGGGGACTGGGTTCCCCAATTGTTTGGAGGCTGGTGGCTGGTGCTGTGGTGTTCAGAAGCAGTCGTGTCCGGAGAGCCCCTGCCTGTGTGGATGCTCATCTCCCAGAGGCTGGAGTGTGACTTATGGGAGCATCTTCCTCAGCACCTCCTTATTGGCCCACTCCCCTCTTACCACTTGCTCCAATCTGTTGGGCTTTGCCTCACCACTCTTGTCTTTCTGCCACTCATTCTGGAGCCGTGTGTCAGACTCCCTGGCAGTGCAGGTTCCTGACCTTCATCCCAGATGCCCTGAACCAGCAGCGCCTGGCCTCAGGCCTGGGAAGTCCCAGGTTGACTCTCAGGCTGCTGTGTTTTGTCCAGCACCTCTGGACAGCGAGGACTGCCACTTCGCGGACACCCTTCCTTTGACAGGAAGGCTTAGGTTCCTGAATAGGTACTTTATTTATTTTCTTCAGGGCCCAGCGTGTTTAGAACCTTCTGGATTTTCAGGCACTAGGGAACCCACAAAAGGGACTCTTTCATAGGATTGTTTCCCCTTGGGGGGTGGTTTTAAGATCACCTGCAAATCTCCAGTCCAAATATCGAGTCTTTTAATGCTTTAGAATTAGGTTGTGTCCATTTGTTGTCTTTATTTTCATCGTACCCGTTGGGTACCAGGTAAGCCAGCAGAGGTTCTGGGGCAATAAACAGAGTCGATGGCTTCAGCCCAGGACCCTGCTTTTCTGGGGGAGGCAGGTAAGCCAGTGTCTGCGTCCCTGCCGTTGCCCTCCTCTGAGCTCATTCCAGTCGACACACAGGGAGCGTGTGCAGCTTGGCCGGCAGGCGTGGAGGCACTCAAATATGGGCAATGCTTGGTCCCTCCACATGGGAAATTTGAAGCCAGGAAAGCCAGTCGCTCAGTGGAGTGACTCCGTGCCATGGTAGCATTGTGGATGGCACACTCCGGAGTGCCATCCATACGGAGTGCCCTGGCAGGCGCCCACTGTCCTTGGATGGGGCAGTTAGAGCAAATTCAGAGCAGCCCAGCCAACCATGTTCGGTGGCTTGAAGTAGTAAGTTGTGCAGCCTAATGATTCATCAGGAGGAGACCATAAGGGAGACAGGGGTTGGGCAGCCAGTGGTGAGAAGTTGTGTCTGGATAGATGTTGAGCTCCTGGTGAGCCTGATGGGAGAAGGAAGGTAGGGAGCCTGCCACCCCAAAAGCTGTGACCTTGAGCTTGGGATCTGGTGGCTCTTTGGACTGAGGGTTTTCAGACTATGGTTTTAAGATCACCTTCAAATCTCCAGTCCGAATATTGAGTCTTAATTCTTTACAATTTGGTCACGTCCATTTATTTCCTTATTTTAATCTTACCCGTTGATAATTAGGGGAGTTCTACCTCTTTCATGCAGATGGGTGCAATTTTTTAAACAGGAGATGAAAAGTGGGGAACCACGGAGGTTGGTTGGGCCACGTCCAAAGCAGAAGCAAGACGGGACACGGTGCTATTGTTAAATCGGTCCCGACTCCTAGTGGCTCCCTCCATGTGACAGAGTAGAACTGCCCCATGGGGTTTTCGGGAGACAGATCGCCACGTTGTTCTCCCACAAAGCCACGGTCAGGTCCGATCTGTCATCGCTTCTGTGAGCAGCTGAGTGCTTCCGCATTGCACCTCCGGTTGCCCCAGGCATTCTAGTCCAGGAAAGACCTAAGGGGGCCGGGACCATGCCAGTGCCAGTGAGAGGTCTGCAGGGAGGGCGGACAGGAGATGCGAGAGGAGGAAACGTGGAAAGCCGCAGAAGCAGGAGTCCCCCGGGCCCTGAACCTGAGGCCGGGCTCGGTGGGAGGTGGGGCACATAGCCCCACTTGAATGTCAGCCTCCTGAGTAATGGAGATACTGTGTTTTACCTGATTTGTCAGGGAGCCACCGTCCAGGGCAACAGTAAGGACATGATGAGGTGTCCCGGCAGTGAGGCCGAGAGGTGGGTCTGGTGCTCAGGGAGAGGCTGAACTTGAGAGTGATGAAGAGCCCCGGAAAACCCAGCAGAGTCAACACGGGGAAGAGTCCATTGAACCGCAACAGTGGGAGTGGGGAGAACGTGTGTGTGTTCAGTCCCCCGTGAGGAGAAGCCGGAATACTGTGCCCTGGACGCCAAGGGCAGGCAAGTGGGGCGCCCGAGGCTGAAGCCCGTAGGCTGGGGCCTTGACTGCAGCTGTGGCTGTGATGGGGCTCGGGGGCTGGGTGTGGGGCTGAGGAAGGCTCACTGGTGACGTTTGCTAGTTTAGCACAGGTGGGGGAAGGGCCAGAAGCCAGATTTCAGTGAGCCGAGGCGGGGTGCGATTGATATTTGAAGAAGTGCGGATCAGTCCCTAGAGATCTAATTGACTGGGTTTAATCGAGGTTTGATTGACCACGGAGCACGTTGCTATGCAGAAAGGGGGATGGTAAATTATAAACCTCGCTTCTTCTACCTGGAAGCACGAGGGGCTCCCCTGGCTGGGAGCGGGGGTAGGAACACCCGTGAAGGAAGCACAGTCTTGTGCCACAGGAGGTAGATGGCACAGCCTGCCGGACTCTCAGTCTACCCCCTGCCCCGCCCCTCCCACTGGTCTGCAGCAGGCTACATAGGGAAGAAGTGCGTCCAGTGCGTGGGTTAGAAATGACTGTGATTGGGTTGACCAGAGAGCTGGTATCCAACAGGTCAGAGTGGGTTTGTTCAGCCAAGCCAAACCGGTTGTCACCGAGGCGATGCTGTGTCCTGGCAGACCGCCTGTGTGTCACAGTAGGACTGGACTCCATAGGATTTTCAGTGGCTGATTTTTTCCCAAGGTGCCCTTGGATGGACTTGAACCCCCAATCTTCCAGTTAGCAGCCGAGCTTCTCAGCTGTTTACCCCACCCACTGGCTCCATGCCGTCATCCAGGCAGGGGATGGAGATGTACAGCCTGCTTCGGCCGGCCCCCGGGTCTCCCCGAGCTGTCTCATCTTAGGAAGGGTAAGCAGCAAGGACAGTGAGGGGAGCCCCTAATGAGTTGTCAGAAAGTTTGGGATAAAGAAAAGAGCTGGGTCACTCTTTGGAGACAAGGGTTGTCTGCAAGATAGCAGACCGTGTGGGAGAAGAGAAGGCTTGGAGGTGAGGAGGGCAGGTGGGTGGGAAGCCGAGCTTGGGCTGGTGAGATGAGGACTGAAGCGCTCACCTGGGATGCCTGTAGGATTCTCAAGCGCTCAGGCAGCGGATTGGGGTGGAGCTGGTAAACTGAAGCGCTCAGGCAGCGGATTGGGGTGGAGCTGGTAAACTGAAACAGGAGCGGCGAAAACAAAAACCTCCATGCCATCGAGTGGGTTCCTACTCGAAGCAGCCCTGTCAGACAGAGTGGAGCTGCCCTGGTGGGTTTCCAAGACGGTAGCTCTGAAAACAGAGAGCCTAGCCCAGCGTGTAACAAACACGCTGTGCCAGCAGGGCTGGGTGGGTCGGAGGGGGAAATGGGGCAGGGGTCTTGAATATCGTGGGGAAGGGTTAGTAATGCCAAAATAGGGGCGACAGCCAAGGTTGGGGCTAAGGAATCTGTGCAGAATACTCCGTGGTTTCTGCAGGGGCACCGAGTTAGAACCGGCAGAAGAAGGCCTTTATTTGAGGGACGGTCACAGCTGTAACTAGCCCCAGACAGGGTCCCGGGGTCTGTTCTTCAGCACAAACATGTTTTCTCCAACCTTCAAGCCCTTCATCTGGCTCCCCACCTCTGGCATCCGTGTCTGTGAGATAGGGTAACTGTCTGGGGGAATTGAGAGCCCCTGTGTCCCATTCCGGAGCCCTGGTGGCACGGTGATTAAGCACTCGGCTGCTGACTCCGCGGTCCGTGGTGTGCACCCACCTGCCTGCCTTTGGTGGGAATATGTGGCTGTCTGCTTGCATTGAGGCTGACAGCTTCAGAACCAGGATGGAGGCGTCGTTCTGTCCTGCAGTGCTGCTGTGGGTCCCAGTTGGCTCCTCAGCAGTGGGGGTGTGGGGGCATGGGGGGTGGGGGGGGGTTGTTGTTGTTGATGTTGTTTTGTGTTCTTCTCCATCATGAGCCCTTCTCTGATCTTCATCCCCCAGGGCCTGGCTACGTGCCCTTCTTTTTGAAGGGTGCTTGGATTTCTGGACCATTGGGAGGTCACCTACCTTTCAGCTAAGGAAATAGCCTCCCAACCTGTCTGCCTAATGACTTGGTCTGATAGGTTTGAGACCAGTGGAAGGATATTGGTGTTCGTGGGGGTTTTGTTTTGCCGGAGTGGTTTTTGCGAGCATCGGTCTTGCCTGTACCTTCTTTTTAATATTCACAGGGGGTTCGGGAGAGTTACTGGGACTTTTGTTTGGCGTATTTGGATGACTCCGATGTGTGGATGAGAATGGGGGGGGGGGGCTCACTTACCTGGGTTTTTTTTGAGAGAACTAGAGGTCCAGGGGCACCTATAGGGGCTCAGCATTCGTGGTGTACCATTTCTGTGATGACAGACCACCGTAAGGAGCCCTGGGGGCACGGAAAGGTTACCCGGCAAGCCAATCCCACCCAGTGGCCCCATGGGAGAAAGACAGGCCTGGCAATCGCCCCGTAGAAGTCACAGCCTAGGACCCCCATCAGGCTCTTCTGCTCTGGCGCAAGGCATCGCTCTGAGCAGCACGTCACGACAGCAAAAGGAGTCCCTTGACCTCTGGTGGTCTAACCTAAGCCCGCCTAAAACAGGGCCCCATTGGTCACGGTAAGCTGGGAACAGGCTCCTTAGACTGTCTGGCTTTAGCCCCCTGCGTCAGCCTTTCTTGGGATCCTCCCTCTGTGCCTCTCTCTGTCTCTGAGGGTCACGGGTTTCTCTGGGCCTCCGCTGACCTGGGGCCTTATGAGACAAGGGCTCTGATGGCTGGCCTGTTGGTAGCATTGTGATGAAGGGCATGGGTTGTGGGGGTCGGTGCTGTCTAGCCAGCTGGGGCACCATTCACCCAGAATGCATCCGTTTTTGTCCTCAGACAAAGAGTTCACCGTCCGGCTGGAAACAGAAAAGCGCCTGTACACGGTGGGGGAGCCAGTGGAGTTCAGGTGCATCCTGGAGGCTCAGAGCATCCCTGACCGGTACTTTGCCGTCTCCTGGGCCTTCAATAGCTCTCTCATCGCCAGCATGGGGCCCAACGCCGTGCCGGTCCTCAACAGTGAATTTGCCCACCGGGAAGCCAGGGGTCAGCTGAAAGTGGCCAAGGAGAGCGATGGCGTCTTTGTGCTGAAGATCTACCACCTCCGCCAGGAGGACACTGGGAAATACAACTGCCGCGTGACGGAGCGGGAGAGAACGGTCACCGGGGAATTCATCGACAAGGAGAGCAAGCGTCCCAAGAACATCCCGATCATAGTCCTCCCCCTCAGTAAGTACAGGCACCCCCACTGCCTTATCGCCCCGTGGCTCAGCAGCTAAGCCGCACACGGGAGGCAGCGTGAGAGAGAAGAGGGTCCCTGGGACTGAGGGTCGGGCTGGGGTGCAGGAGGAGCCCAGAGGTTCGGTCAGCGCCCCTCTTCCCCAGTTAGCCGAGCTGCAGGGCTGTGTTTGCAGGGTTGAATGGGCCCTTGGCAGATCCCGGGTCTAGCTCTGCTTGGAGGCAAACCGGGAATCCAGGAAAGCTGTTTGTTCCAGGGTGGGCGTTCAACCCCAAAAGGACGGGGTAGAGACCTATCTAGGAATCTCACTGAAGGAGAATTAGCCTCTTATGGGATAGTTTATAAATTACAAAGTATAAGATCCAGAAGGATTTTGCCGCCTATGGCTTTTGGTGGGGGTAAAGGTTGACATTTCCCTCATCGTCTCTTCCCTATTAAAGTCTGCTTTTAGAAGTCAGTGCGTGCCATTTTGTAAGTCTTCCTGAAGCACAGACTTTTGGAGCTTAGCCAATTCCTGGGGCTGCTTTGCCGGTCCCCCAGTGGTGGCAGGCAGGTGGGTGGGAGGATGGGGGGTGGTAGCTTCATTGCCAGGGGCTCCAGGGAGGCCACCCGTGTCGGGTTGTGCTGATTAATTGTCCATAGTATCAGGGTGCTCATGCAATTTCTCGTTTATCTCAAAGCTCTGTGTTTAGTGGAAAGAGTTTTTTAAAAGCTTCTCTGAAACAAGCTGATGAACTAACCTTTAACCTGTTTTTCTCACCTCCTCAAACTGCTTTCTCTTATGACGATTCCCCTGTTCGTGTTTAATCTACACACTTTCCGTTTTAAAGAATAATTCTCTTCAAGTATGAGTAATAATGATTAAACACATAAAAAAGACTTAAGGCCCTTTTCTTCTTTTCTCCTGAACTAGAAGATTTCATTTCCTGCTTTGAAATACACAAAACAGAACACAGGTTTCTTAACTCCCTCCGAATCTTTTCCATGCTCAGCCCTTCTGCCTGCGCTGCCCAGCATGGAGCTCTGTGCGAGTAGGTGAATGCCCGCTCTTCTGGTTCTGTTCCTGCCCGCCAGTGCTTGCCTTAACCAAGACCTCTCTCCTTTTAAATCTGCAACTAACCCTCCTTGTTTTGGAAGGACCAGTGAAGGGCAGCCACACTACTTTTATCTCACGCCTTTTGTATAAAGCGATTTCCCCCGACCCCTTCCATGAACTCGTTGATGATCTGTGGCCTGCTATATTGCTTTTCCAGCAGATAACTGGGTAGTTAAAGTCCCCCAGCACCACCAGATCCTGCCCCAAGGCCACTTGGGTAAGTCTACCAAAGAACAACCGGATCACATCGGGAATGATGATAAGACCTTGGATGTTAATGGCCCTGTACCTCCCAAGAGCCCCAAGTGCTGTAGCATATCTCACCAACCCCCCAAATCCTTATCGAGGCCAGTGTTGTATTCTCCCCCCTGCTGCCCCCCCCAGCCCTCCCCTGTGGACGAGGAAGCCAGAGCACTGTACAGGGAAGTGGCTTGGGGGGAGGAGGGAGCCACGTGTGCAGTTAGAGGTCCGGCTTGCCTTGCGTTTGAAACGTTTGCATCTAACTCCAAAACCACTGCTCCGCGCTTAGCCTCTGCCACGGCGTTGGTCTCCTGGTTCGAGACGCCCCTCGTGAGCGTGTGCTCATAAGTTCTGTCCCAGTTTTCACGGAATCCAGATACTTTCACGGCGTCAGCTGCCTGTCGTTAGGCCTGGGAGCTCTTGCAAAGAGTGTTCCCTTAAGCGTGGCACTCAACGGGCAAGGCAGTGCCCGGTCTGCGTTTGCCTTGGCCCGGGTGCCGGAGGGCTTATCTGCCCAGAAAAACTTTAACTTCTGAGTTTTCCCAGGCTTGCTTAAGCAGTTGAGCCCCAGACACCAGCCCTTACAGCACACAAGCCAGGGCTTACATAAGAGTCATTTGGGGCGACAGGAGGGAGTGGGGATGATGTCCCATATGTCATGCTCTGCTTAAGGCAAGCAAAGGGATTGTCTCCCTCGAAGCTGGAGTTGCCACATTTAATCCCATCTTCTGAATTCATACACATGGGCGTGAGCCTGTGACTGAAAGGGAAATCTTAGTCTCATTGGCGATGGTAATGAAAAATAATTGCTTCATCTGATCCTGTCAATGATTAGGATCTCCATTTTGCCCAAGAGAAATTGCGCTTGGGCACGGTAAGTTCGAGTCCCCGATTCCAGGGTTAGGAAGGAGGTCTGGGCCTGCCTGACTCTAGGTTCCTGCACTGGGCCATTGTGCTGCACAGGCAGTACTGAGGGGGCTCAGCATTGCCCCTGTTTGTTTTGCATCGACCCCGGGTGGTGGTCCTCCTGGGAAAAGTGCTCTTCCCCACCGTGTCCAGACTTTTTCCTCACTTGACACCAGCAAACGCATGCTCCCCTAACGAGCCAAAGACGGAGGCAGAGTGTCCAGCGCTTGCTGTTTCGGCCTGTGGCGGAAATCCAGGGGCAAAGAGGTTGACTCAGATATATACATGTGGGCGTGGGTGTGTCTCCCTCCTCAACGGGGCCTTGATTGGGTGGATTGGTTTAATTTTTTGTTGTTTTTGATTGATTGGTTTTAGATGACCATCGTGCCCCAGGTGGGTGTTCCCTCAAAATCAGCGCCCTGTTGGTTAAGGTTCCTTGAGTTCTGTGAGACCTGGGGGCCTCTTGAACTTTATACGGGTAACTACAAAATGATAGGTACATGGTTCCAATAGATTGGAGTGTCTATTCTGTAAAAGCAGAGTTGCTGGGAATGGTAAAATTAATTAACGATAATGGAGGTTGAGTGGTTTCTTTTTTAATTGTAATGTGTAGGTCAGGGCGTCTCTATACATTGGCTCACTTTTTTAATCTTTCCAAAACTTTCCAAATCAGCCCTCTCCTCAGTTTGTAGAACAAATTGAGGCTCATGGAGAGTTTAAGTAATTATCTTGAGTGAGTTCTGATAGCTAGTGAGTGGTAAAGACCGAGACTCAGGCACTGAGGGGCGGAACCCTAACCCCATCCTTTGATGGGCAGAAGGATTCAAGTAGAGACCAAGGGCACCCGGGGCTGAGTGGACACGCAGCCGGATGGGGAAGGCATGCACTGGCCTTGACGTAGTCTGCTGTGCTAATGAAAGTTTAAAAGCTCCCACCCCACACCAGGCACTCCAAGAAACCGAACCATCTGGGCTCCATTATTCTCCAGTCTCAAGGGCACTTGGTCTTCCAAACGCCTCCCATCATTTGTTGCTGCTTCCTGATGTTTGGCCTAAAGGAGCCAAATGACACTTTCCCGTGGCAGCTCTGATTTGACTGGTGGGAAGGTGGAGGTCGGGCTGGATTTGGGTATTAACTTAATTTGAAATTGGAAGTTGAAAGGGATCTTCCCTGCATGCCAGCTGAATCAGTTCAAGAGATGGTTTTAGGTCCCGCCTGCCTTGCCCTGGTGCTAATGCTTCTTTGGTTCTGATTCAGCCTCAAGTCTTAGAACCTGTACATCCCAGCCCTTTTCCCGTAGGCAGAGCATTCCGAATCATCAGACCCAAATCCCAGGACCCTCTAGGTTGAAGGCCCCAAGTGTCAGAAGGCTTGTTACTCTCAGAGGCTCCTGGTACCTGAATGAGACTGATTTTTCCCCCTCCTCCTTTGGTTCCTGTGGGAGGGTGCAGTGGAGACCATAAGCCCCACCCTGTCGCCCTCTCCCTCTTCCCAGAGAGCAGCATTTCCGTGGAGGTGGCCAGCAACTCGAGCATCCTCTTGGAGGGCGAGAACCTGCACTTCTCCTGCAGCATCCGCACGGCAGGCAGGCAGCAGGGCCGTTTTTCCGTGACCTGGCAGCTGGTGGACAGGCAGAACCGCCGCAGCAACATCATGAGGCTGGACCGGGATGGCACCATGCAGCCGGGCGCCTCCTACTGGGAGCGCAGCAGCTTCGGGGGCATCCAGATGGAGCAGGTGCAGCCCACCTTGTTCAGCCTGGCCATCTTCAACAGCAGGAAGGAGGACGAGGGCCAGTACGAGTGCCACGTGACCGAGTGGGTGCGGGCGGTGGACGGCGAGTGGCAGATTGTCGGGGAGCGGCGGGCCAGCACCCCCATCTCTATCACCGCTCTCGGTAAGCCGTCTGCTGGCGAGACCATGCTGGAGCCCACCTCACTCAAGGACTTGACCCTGACGTTGATGAGTCACAGTCCTGGTAGGAAAAGGGTTCCCCTGGAGGGACAAGACTCAGGCAAACAACGGTGGATGGTGGAGCCCCGGGTCCAGCACGAGCTGGAAGCTGTTGCTCCTCGCAGGCCTGGGTGACCTAGGAGCTGGGTGTAAAGCACTGTAGCCAGGGGAGCAGAGTCCCTGGGTGGAGCTGTCAGTGCGTGACGGTTAAGGGGTAGTAGGCTAGACGTTCTGCTCGACCCCTGAGGTGCCTCAGAAGAAAGATCTGGTGGTCTGCCCCCAAACCAGCCCCTGGACACCCTCTCAAGTTCAGTTCTGCTCTGACACATGGGGTCACCCCAGTCGGAACCGACTCCACTGAAGTGGGGGGTGGGGCGCAGGGGAGGAATGCCACAGAGCAGGAGCTGTGGCCCCAGGAAGAGGCACAAGGTCCCTGCCGATATGAGCCTGCAAGGGAGGGAGCCCAGGAACAAAGATCGCCACTTCTCTCCTTGCTCCCCACGTCTCTGCCCAGAAGCCCAAGCCACCTAAAGCTGGGCAGCGCTGGGCAGCAAATCACAGCTGCTAGTTATGTGGTGCTGTGGCGGTGCGTGGGAGCCCTGGCGGTACAGGGGCTAGCGTTGGGCAGTGAACTGCAAGGTCCGCAGTTTGAAACTGCCAGCCGCTCCCTGGGAGAAAGATGAGGTGTTCTACTCCCAGAAAGAGTTGTTAGTCTCGGAAACTCACAGGGCAATGCTACCCGTCCTACAGATCGACTCCCTGGCTGTGAGTTTGGTTTGGGGTTTTAGGTAGGATCCTCCCATATTTTGCAGGGAAACAGGCACTGAGAGAGGTTTAACTCATTCACTGGAGGCTACCAATTTTAAAAGACAAGCCCACAATCTGAGTCCGGGAAATGAGTCTTAATTTGGGGGGAAAACCTCTGTTGTTGTTTGCTTTGTTTGCGTGTTTATCTATTCCTCTATAGAGCCCATACTTAAGGAAGTCATTTCCTCATTACTATGAAATTGAAAGAGGCCTTGAGATTTGCTAAAACCAAAGAAAATTAGATTTGCTTCTCAGGAGTAGTTAAAGAAGCCTCTATCGTCATTTATCTGTCTGATTCCATCGGTATATTAAATTTTAAAGACCAGTCTGTTACTTGTCTGTGAAGCTTGTGTTAGGTCTCCATGTGTATCAGGGTCGGTGGCTTCCAGGGCCTGTGTGACTCCCCCCCCCCCCCCAGGAGAGGCTTGGGGGTGCCTTTTGGTTCCCCCAGTAAGACGACAGCTCTGGTGGATTTGCCCTACACCCATTCAGCCCTCTGCCTTCTTCCCCTCCGAGATTAGAATTACATATGCTTCCCAAAAGCTTAGCCCCAAAGGCTGAACTGCATTCTGCAGTAACCATGCAGCTCTGATTTCGGTCTCTAGAAACTAACTTCATCCCGTGATTAAGTTTCCTGGTCAGCTCAGCCTCTGTTCCTCTGCTCGGCACTGGTGTGGGCCTGTGGAAAGGGAACTGACCATGAACGTCCAGGGGCTCTGGAGGCTGGGAAGAAGAGTCTGTCGGGCTTATTTCTCGGGAAGGAATTTTCCTGTGTCACATCACCCCTGATTGTTTCTGACTCACCCTGTGTTTGGAGCAGCCCACAGGCAGGGGCCTTGGCTATCTATGCCCATCTGTTTGCCACCCCTGGGGTGCTCCTGACCAGAGCCCATGTCAAGGTGGCCTAAGGAGGTGGAGGAAGGTAAGAAAGGAGAGGGAAGCCCAGAGGAAGGCTGCTTTTTCATTTTAACCAAACATACCCTCCATTAGGTGTGGGGTGACCAGGTGTCAAGGTGACCAGTTGACATACTACCCTGTTTCCCTGAAAGTAAGACATCCCCCGAAAATAAGACCTACTTATAGTTTTGCCTCTCGCTAAAATATACGGCATCCCCCCGCAAATAAGATCTCTCCGAAAATAAGGACCCCCAAAGCTACCGTAACTGTGGACCTTAGTGGTGGGCGCCTTATGCAGCTCCCTGTTGGCTGCAGTGCAGCTGGAGCAGACAGGAAGTGTGAGGTCTCTTTTAATAAAACAATCAACAATAAATGTGTACCGTATTCCTCTTCATGGAAAAATAAGACATCCCCTGAAAATAACCCAGCATATCTTTGGGAGCAAAAATTAATATAAGACGCTGTCTTATTTTCAGGGAAACAGGGTAGGCATTGTGCTCAGTCAGTCACACTGCTCCACCTGTGTGTGTGCTGTGCTCAGTGATCGTGGCTCCGGTCTGGACACGACCCTGAGCTCTGAGAAGCTCTCTGGCCCATGTTCAACGTGGTGACCAGGAACTCCAGGTACTGGCATGTCCACTTTCCCCAGGTGCTGTGCTGTGCTGCTTCAGCCACAGCATGGGACCCACACCCTTAACAGAAAGCACAGGTTCCCAAACTTATTTGGCCTGCCGAATAAGTTTTCTTTCTTTCCAGAAAGAAAAAATTACTCAGCACCCCTCTCCCACTTTGTACCCTCAATCCAAGATCAAGTGTAGGGATCTGCTTTGAAGTCCACTTGGATCATGCCAGCGCCCCACTTCCCCCGGGGGCATTATCGCCCACGTTGGGAAACACTTGATGTAAAAGTGGGCCTTTGCATCTTTAAAAATATGTATATATATTTTTAGATACGTAGTTTATGAAACACCAGTGGATGTCAGATGCAGTGTTTTGAGTAGATGATGCCTACTCGGTGCTCTGTATACTTCCCGACAGAAATCTCAGCCTTGTACTGAAAGGGGTTAAATGCTTTCCTCAACCAAAGTATATGTTTAACAGAATAGAAAGGGTGTTCACAAAGGTCAGAGGATAATCCCATTATCTTTTCATTCCATTCCCCCCACCCCCCACCCCCATGGGCTTTTTGGAGCCCCCTCCATAGCATATACTGTGTGCTTGGTCCTAGTCTAAGTATTTTCTAAACGAGACTTCATCAGAGCCCGTTGAGCAGGTAGGCAAACTGAGGCCTAGGGCAGTGGCTTGCTCCCTGTCACACAGCCAGTAAGTGCTGAAGTCAGGCAGCTGTTTCCACAGTCTTTGCTCTTAACCTCTGCCTCCAGGGACTGGTGTCCAGCGCAGCCTGAGGCAGCCACTGCCGTTGGGTCAGCCCTGACGCAGAGCGACCTTATGGGACAGGGTGGAACTGCTGGTTCCTGAGGGGGTAAGTCCCCATGGACGCAGACTGCCCCGTCTTTTCCCCTCCGAACGTCTGGTGGGCTCCCAGCGCCAGCCTCGTGCTTTGCAGGCCGGCTCTTTAACCACCGAGCCACCCCGGCTCTTTAACCTAGTCAAGTCCTTGGTTACAAGTGTGCTCTGTCTGCAGTCAGTCACACAGGAGCCTGAGGTTTCTAAACACAGCATTTTCTAGCAGGTGGACATTGGGCAGTTTCTTCAGCGGCTCTGTGCTTCTGATCGTTCATCTGTTCAGAAGGAGGGTGGGGTTGTGTGCTCATCGCGCCTTCCTGCGAGGTCAATCTGAAGCCCGCCAGGTAACCCACTCCACCACCAGGCCTCCCTTGGCACCAAAGAGATACACTATCTAACTCCAACTCACTGCCAGTGAGTCCACACATAGTGACCCCACAGCACCCACTGCCCTGGTGGGTTTCCGAGGCTGCAACTCTTTACAGGAGTCAGAGTCCCATCTTCATCCCACAGAGCAGCTGTTGGTTTCAAACTGCCCACCTTGCAGTTTGTAACCACTTGTAACCACTATTGGCTGCAACCTGTCTTACTCTTCTTCTGAACACTGTAAGGTATAGATGATACTGCAAAACTGGAGGAATGCTGTGAGGATGAGGGGTGGCTTGGTTTTCGGGGTTTGTGAAGCCACCTGTTACGTAGGGACCTGAGAGGCTCCCAGCCCCCAGAGACTGTAGAATTTGGGGTTTGTGGATCATTAGTTTCACAGGGGGTCTCTGAGGGTCAGAAGGGTTCTGCCACCTCACCTCAGGCCCTCCCTCCTGCTTGGGTCCCTCGTGCTGGCTCCGTCTAGGTCTCCCAGGGATGGCAGAGGGGACCTGGAGAACAAGCCAGCACTGCCCAACCCTGAGGCCCAGGAGGTGGCCTCCCTTGGTGCCTCCCCATCCTCGGCCACTGATGCTCTCAGTTGTCTGGGAAAGGCAAGTAGGTTTGGGGGGACTCTTTGGCTCCTGCATTAGCCTGGAGCTAAAATTTCTAATAATGACCCCGTCTCCGTGGGACCAGCCCCTGAGGCAACTCTGCTGTCTATTCCAGGAGGGACTTGGGCTCAAACCTGCAGTTAGAAAAGTTCTCCCCCTGTCTCAGCTGGAAGGGTTGATGCTAGACTGGCTCAGACAGAGCCTCTCTCCACTGGGGCCTCTCTCCATGGGTCTTCAAACAGTTGGGTTCCTGCCACAACATGATACCTGACAATATTGGCCCGAGTGTCAAATATATGCCAACCCCCCAGCTGTTGAGTTGATTCCTGCTCAGGGGAGCCCAGGGGTGCAGAGGATAACTGCTCCGTGGTCTCAAGGCTGGGACTTGCCCGAAGGGGGTCTCCAGGCCTTCTGTCCTTAGGGTCCATTGAAACCACCTACCTTGAGGTAGGTAGTGAATCATGTAACCTGTTGTACCAGCCAGGGGACTGCGTATCAAAAGAGAAAACTCAGAGCCCCCCGGGCCATTGTCCTGTCTCCCTTGCTGTTGTGAGCAGCCCCTCACAGACATCCCTGCCCTGAGAAGGCCGAATGAGTGTCCGCTGTGGTTTAAGTCCCTGTCTCCTCTCTCCAGAAACGGGCTTTGCAGTCACGGCCATCTCGCGGACGCCGGGGGTGACCTACAGCGACTCCTTCGATTTGCAGTGCATCATCAAACTGCATTACTTGGCCCGGGTCCCCGTGTCGGTGACCTGGCGCTTCCAGCCAGTGGGCACCCTGGAGTTCCACGACCTGGTGACCTTTACCCGAGACGGAGGGGTCCAGTGGGGAGACCGGTCCTCCAGCTTCCGGACCCGGACTGCCATCGAGAAGGCTGAATCCAGCAACAACGTGCGGCTGAGCATCAGCCGAGCCAGCGACACGGAGGCGGGCAAGTACCAGTGTGTGGCAGAGCTGTGGCGCAAGAACTACAACAACACCTGGACGAGGCTGGCCGAGAGGACCTCCAACCTGCTGGAGATCCGGGTCCTGCAGCCAGGTGAGTCTGTTGCATGGCAGAGCTCGGGAAGGAGGGGAGGGGTGGATCCAGTGTCTGGAGCAGCCCCTGCTTTCCGGAGAGTCCAGGTCTGTGGGAAGTGATGCGCAGCGAGTGGTTCACATGGGACACATTCGTTCTCTCCCTGTTGCTGTTGATCCTTTGGAGGAGAAGGTGCCTGCATCAGTGTCCCGGCCAATCACGGCCCTCAGGGCCATCTCAACTCACAGCAGTGCTCTAGGCAGAGTAGAACTGCCCCACAGGGTTTCTAAGCCTGTCAGTCTTTACGGGAGCCGCGGAGCCCCTGGTGGGCTCGACCTATGGGCCTTGAGTTAGCAGCCCAGTGCTCAGCCATTGCACCACCAGGGGCCTGGTATCAGTGACGCTTCCTCCTAAGCATTTCAGCCTGTAGCTCATGAAAAGAATTCCCCCGTGCTGCAGGGGTTAAGCACATGGCTGGCAATGGAAAGGCCAATGGTTCAAATCTCCTAGCTGCACTGCAGGAGAAAGACGAGGCCGTCTGCTTCCATAAAGAGTTGCAGCTTAGAAAGCGTGTGGGGAAGGATCGCTGTGAGTTGGAATCCACGCTGTGGCAGCGGCTTAGGTAGCTTCTAAGAACAAAGATGGTCTCTTCTCTAAGCACTCTGTTCTCGTACTGTGGACCTGTACATTCCTGTAGCATGAGCCTCTGGGAGATGAGAAGGATTGAATGGAGCATCTGCGAGGTAGGAAGTATCAAGTGCTCAGGTACCAGCAGAAAGATTGCCACTTTGAATCCACCCAAAGGTACCTTGGAAGACACACCTGCCAGTCTGCTCCTCAAGGTCACAGCCTTGGAACCTCAGTGCAAGTGGGGTCACCGTGAGTCTGACTCTGGACTGGAGAGAAGCTCTATTTACCCAATTGTCTCAATATGGTTCTTTATAAGTTTGAGGATTTTTTAAATGCCCCTTCCTTCCAAATCATGATCCGGTCAGGGATTACAAATTGCCTGCAGTTGTCATATCTCTTGGAGACTTGATTATCCCAGGGCGTCCCACAGCTTGTACATGGATGGTACATGTGCCTGTGTGAAGATATTCCTGGAAAGATGTGGCTTGTAGTTGTAAAGTGTGCAGGCCCCTTTCTATTTACTCGGCCTCATCTCTCACAATCTCCATAACGATTATGCGATAGAGCTCTATTGTTGCCCATTTACAGACCAGGAAACTTGGAGAGGAGAGGGACTATCAGAGGCACTTAGGAGCATCCGCTCTGCACTCGAGCCTACTCGATAGGAATTTCATAATAGCCCTGGGAGAGATTAAGCAGCCTGACCAAGGTCAAGTGCCGAGTCGATGGGATGGCCCTTGTCTTTCTCCAGTGCCGTTTTCTTGGCCTGGGCCATGCTCAGGTGTCTCCATTTCCTGGGGAGGCCAAGTACAACTCTCCTCCAGCAGCTGATAATGCCTTGTTAGTCTACAAACACAGAGATAAGGATGCACTCGTGTGAGCAAAAGTCCCGGGAGCTTTGGGCAAACTCTCCCATCACCAGGCCCCGCCCCTAACAAAGGTGAGCTGTTCAGTACGGGCTGCCCTTCTGTCCTCCACTGTCTATCCTGTGTCTCCAGCAGGGTGGAGGCTGGTGCTGGGTGGGGCCCAGGCCGCAGGCTTCGGAAGCCTTCCTGGTGCCCGGCCCATGCACAGTGGAGAGGAGGCATGCCACGGTGAATGGTGAAGGCCGAGCGGGAGGTGACTTTGCGGGCCCAGCCACTTTGTAAAATTGGTCTGAATGCTTTACCAAAGGGATTTCTGCCCACGGACAGCGATGGTTCGTGCCCACGCTCGTCTCCTTGACCCCCTCCGGGGGTTGCCACGTTGTTTTCAGCCATGGGGGTTAAGTCGAAATGACTGCTGCTTTCAGCCTTCACCTCTCACCCTAGCAGAGCGCTGCCCGGTACCAGGGTGGGGAGTCGGCGAGCTGTGGATGTGAGCCATGAGGCTGCCCCTTGGCCACTTAGCGCCCAAGCCGGGGTGGGCAGTGTGCCCAGCGAGGAGAGTGTTCTGCTCCAGGGCACCAGGTTCACGGAGGGTCGAGCAGACGCCCCATGGTGTGGGAGCTCTGGATGGGGCTATGCTGCGGATCTCGTCCCTGCCTTACTGAGCGGAACATCATGGTAGCAGCGGGCCTTTTCATGGCCTCGGCTGTCCCGGAGGTCAGCGTTCTGAGCCGCAGTGCCCGTCACAGGGGCTTTGGGCCGGAGAAGGCAGAGGAAGTGCTGACCCCAAGGCCTTGCCCGGCATTCCCTTCTTCAGTATATCCTTACTCTTTGCTTGTTTGTGTTGCTGAAAAATCTAGTGGGTGGGTAAGGAATTACTTCATTGAAAATGCTCCCCAAACAAAATATACAACTTTCCTCTGGTTCTTTAATGCTTCTCCCCTCCCCCCACTAACATGACCCTAATTCTACCTTACAAATCCGGCTAGACCAGAGCATGTACACT